CGGCGGGTGCTGGGGTTTGCAGCTCTGCAGTCAAGGGTCGTCCTAGCCATGGTTGATGTCAGTAAGTTTCAGCTTCCAACCCTTGTCATGATGTTATTTGAACTGGGTGTTGCTTGAATGTAACTGTTTCTTCCCCTACCTTAGTCATAAAGTCATGTGTTCTAATATACGTGAAATTTCCTTTCTTGAAAGGGGGAAAATTAGGTTAGATATGAGGCAGAGGATTTCCCTGTTGTGGTGGTGAGACACTGTCCCAGGTTGCCCAGGGAGGCTGTGGCTGCCCCAACCCTGGCAGTGTTCACAGCCAGGTTGGCTGAGCCTTGAGCAACCTGCTCTGGTGGGAGGTGTCCCTGCCCAGGGCAGGGGCTGGGACTAAATGACCTGTAAGGTCCATTCCAACCCCTAACATTCTATGATATAACTTACATGTTCACTGCAATCCCTCATAGAGGTGATCAGAATGAAAGGACCTCACAGTACTCTTCCAGGACAGCCACAGAGCTAAGCTGTTTGTATTTTAGCCAAGATATTAAAACATGTGCTTAACATTGTCTCAAGAAATAAACAGATTTTAATATTTTAACACTAAATTTTTATTAGCTAATGAATGTATATTTGGCTTTGCGATGTATGGTTAGTCCTGGATCATCCCAGATTGCTCCAGTGTGTGAGGTTTTGGCTGTTTGAATATGAAAAGTCAATGTAGAGAGTGACAGGGTAGAAATGACTGTCTAGGGTATTTGCAAGCTTCAGTCCAGGGCAAAATTACAAGCAATTAAAATCACTGATAGTTCTGAACTGCAGTGTTATTATCCTCTTTGACAGGATATATGTAAACAGCCACCTGAGAAAGCTTCTGCCAACAGGCTGAATAATTGTTGCTTCTCTAAGACAACTACTGTTAAAAATAAAGAGTCCTAGAAATTTTTGACACTTTTTATTTTTCTTGCATGTGTCTGTGATAAAAGCCTCTTCACTCACAGGTGACTATGTGATGTGCTGCATCAGGAAATGGATTGGGATCAGTTTGACTTGAACCCTAGAACAGTTGCTGCCCTGAAGAAAGGTAACTAACTGACTATGCCAATGCCTCACTAACAGAGCTGTGGGTATAAGCATAGAGATAGACACTAACTAACACCTAGAACTGTAAGTTCTGTTGAGTGCTGTGTCCACTTCTGGGCCCCTCAGTACAAGAAGGACATTGAGGTGCTGGAGCATGTCCAGAGAAGGGCAATGAAGCTTGTAAAGGGTCTGGAAGTCCTGTGAGGAGCAGCAGAGGGTGTTTATCCTGGAGAAGTGGATGCTCAGGGGTGTCACAGAATCATCAAGATTGGAGGAGTCCTCTAAGATCTTCAAGGCCAACCATTCCTTATCCAACCAGTGTCCTTCACTCTACAAAGGAGGTTGGAGCCTGGTGGGGCTCTGTCTCTTCTTCCAGGTGACAAGTAACAGGACATAAGGACATGGTCTCAAGCTATGCCAGAGGAGGCTTAGGTTGGATATTAGGAAGAATTTGTTCACAGAAATTATTATTAGACACTGGTGTGTGCTGCCTAGGGAGGTGTTGGAGTCACCATCCCTGGAGGTGTTTGAGGAGAGACTGGACATGGCACCTAGTGCCATGGTCTAGTTGACATGGTGCTGTTAGGTCACACTTGATGATCTCAGAGGTCTTTTCCAACCTTAATGATTCTGTAATTAAATAAAGGTTTTGAGTAATTACAAATGATGGCTTTTTCTCATGCTCCAATAATCATTTCCCAAAAAATTCTATAGCATGTGCTGACACATTCCCAAGTGCCTCTTTCCTGCCCTCCTTACACGAACAGAGCACAGATAAACTTCAAGCAAATGAGTAGTAGAAATTGACAAAACTTCTCTGTGTAAGTCTCTAATCCTGCCAAAAACATTTATAAAAATCCTTCCACTTTCAGCTGAGATAAAATCAGTAAAGGAGATTTTAAACCTGTCTGGAGCAGACCTGCAAAGGCTGATGAAACTCCCCAGTGCAGACATCCAGTGCCTCCTGAGGACAGTCTCTCACACGCTGAGGGGAAGCAGCATGCTGACAGGTAATGCAGGCAGCACACTCACTGGCTGCTGCTCAGAGCTTAAACTGACTGGCACTGGGAGGAAATGTGGCTCTGGCTCCTCACTGGCACAGCAATGTGAGTTGGTAGTGATAAGTGGTTTTATTGCACTGCAGTGAATTATTGGTCTACCCCAGGACAGCTCCCCTGAGGGCTGGAGGCAGATGGATGGGTGTCCTTCAGGGTCAAGCCTGATGGAAACAGGACAAAGTGATTCTTTCTTTCTCAAGCCTCTGTCTTGTATCATTGTGTATTAAATCAAACTCCTTTTTTTTCTCTTTTTAATCATTGAAACCAAACCCTGCAGCACTTCAGCTCTACCAAGACAAAGATCACCTCACCTCCCAACAGCAGAAGCTGAGCCTAGGCTGTTCAGTGCTGGACACCCTGTTAAAAGGTGGCATTCCTCTCGTGGGAATCACAGAGCTTGCTGGGGAAAGTTCTGCTGGGAAGACTCAGATCAGTTTGCAGCTGTGTCTGTGTGTGCAGTATCCTTACAAATACGGTGGATTAGACTCTGGTAAGTGCTGAAATGTCAGTACTTAATCATTTACTGAATCATATACTGTCTTTAAGAGCATCACTGGAGTAGATGCACATGTTCAGTGCGTAACTTCTGTAGGAAGCTAGTTAGTAATGCACCTTGTTAGAGAGCAAAGCCCATTGTACACATGTCCTGCAGCACAACAGTTTTGTACAGGATCACAGTTGGCTGTTCTTTCCCTGTCTGACACTGTGGGTTACACTAGACACTCGAATAAAAGAAAAGCATTGCTGTCATGGGTACCCAGTGACTCCCCAGGTAGCAACCTCAGCAAAACAGCAGGACAGATAATCATCCACAAACATATTGGGTATGTGGTATATATTCCCTCGTTGGGGATTTCAGATTTTGAAGGAGATTTGATTTGCTCACAATAATTCTAGTGATTTACAGAGTAAAACTGATGGAGGAGAAAGGTAACATTGTCTGTACCTGTGATTTTCCTGTGGGTTTGCCAAAGTGTACAGGTTTATTCTTTGATTTGAGTGTATTTTTACCCCTCTATCACATTAATCTAACTCCTAGTTTATTTTCTTGATGATTTCCTAACTATCAAGGAAACTTGAGTCTAGTAACCACAGTAGGGTTGGACTTGATGATCTTGGAGGTCTTTTCCAACCTGGTTGATTCTATGACTCTCTGATTCTATGATGCCATCCTGCTGCTGAAGCTGGAGATCTAAGGCAGAGGTGTAATTCTGCTTCTTGCAGTTCTTCACTCACAGTGTGATCTCTTGCCATCTCTTAGACTGCACACACTCACAGCAGCAGATGCTGTTTGCACAGCACTTAGAAACTCAAACTTGATTTCTTTGCGGTCAGTAAATAACAGTCATGTGAAGTCTCTGATAAGAAATACATAAATTAAAGCCTGTGTTAAGTGTGAGGAGTTTCATCTTTAGCAAACTTGAGAAGAACAGTGATGCGTAGAAACTCTCCCAGAGCTCTATCACTACCCCAGAAGATTAATCTCAGTGCTGAAACATAGCTACTGGTTTAAGATTGTGCTGGGTTGTATTTTTTACTGCCTAGGAACTTCCCTTCTCTTAAGTGGTGATGGTGCAACACATGTCTTTAAGCACTGTAGATTTATTCTGCATTTGCTTCACTGGACTTAGTGCTAGGCTTGTTTGACTCACTGTGCTGGGAAACAGGCAGCAAAGAAATCTTGCAAGTAAACAAAGGCATCCTTTGCCTCCAGGGTGTCTTTCTGCTCTTCTGGGAATGTCACTTATGGTCAATTGCATGTTGGCTGAATTGAGTTTATGTGCCCATATTCATAAGTAATATGTGAATGTAATGGGACAAATTAATATCCATATTAGAATTCTCAATTATGAAACAATGTTTGCTGCTGATTCTGGGTAACAAGCTGGTTTGGGGCATGGCAGATTATGTTCACGGGACTCAAAATTTGCCCTTCTTTGAGGATGAGGTTTTTTGAGTGGTTATTAGTTGTGGTTGGATGGTTTTTTGGGAGTGTTTTTTGTCAACAGCCAGCAGAGCACTTCTATCAGCCTAAATAACAGATTGGATGGAATAGCTGATTCCTGTTTGGGTTTTGGGGAGGAAAGATGCTTCTGTGATCACTGACTGACTTCTGAGTGTCTCTCAGCTTATCTGGAGTGATAACTCCCCTGACTCTTGACTTGCTGGCAGTGTTGGCAGCTCCCTGATCATCTGTGAATAGCACCATGCCACAGGCTTTTCTCTTCGTGTTGTACTAGTCTCCTCTTTATTTAGGTCATGACAACTCCTTATCTTTAGAGATATGTGACTGTCAAATGCTTTTGCCTCATAGTTAGACATCAGTCTTCAATACTGAGTTTAGCTCTTTGTCAGTCTCTTCTAGCCCTACAAAACTGAACCCAGGCAGGAGAGAGTCTGTGGGGCAGAACTGTTCTTAAGAAGGAATAAATAATCTTTATCCTTTTTTTTACAAGTGTTTCTGTAAAAAAAATTAACCTGAATAAATGTGTTCACTTCAACTTTAAAATTGCTGTCACGGCTTTCTGGACAGGACAGTATGTGTCTGTTGGTCAGGAGTTTTACATTGAGGTTACTGGACCAGACTTTTGCTTTTCCAGATGTTCTTTTTATGTCTACAGGTACTGCAGCTGTAGGATTTCCTTGTTTGCCTCAGTTTACTTGTTCATCAGGTGTGAGTGTGAAACTGGACTACAATCACATATATATTTGTTACAGAGGAGGTTGCATGAGCAGTTTATACCCTTCTGCCTCTACCTTCCTATCTCTGTTCCTATTATTGAACTGAAATTTAGTCCTAATGAAAATTAGGCTTACTCTCATCTTTGTCTCATGTACAAGATTCTCAGGATTCAATGCCCTGTGACCACTGGCAAAATATTTTTACTGATATAACAACCATTAATTTTCCCTTGCTCTAGTCCTGAGATTTTTATGTTTCCACTACTGGATATGGTTTAGTATTTTTTTCCAGTGGAATATGTAGAGGATTTGGAAGTTGCATCTGGAAATGGGACTTTCCACAACCTGGAGAGCCAGTGTAGGGTGGGAATGTTCACGATGTCTCATATGGCCAAGCACATCATCTGCCAAGCTGTGTTAGCAGCTTCAGCCACTTTACTGAGTGGGCTTAATCCTTAGATAGAACCTTGGAGCCTTAGCTGTTAATTCTGATTAGGTCTGTGATGACAGTAACCATTTTCCATACAGAAAATGCTGCATGTATTTCTGTTTCCCTTCCCCCAACATCTCTGATGTGTATGGCGACTTATCTCTGGAATAATGCTCACTTGTTAACCAGAAACCACAGGAAAAACACTGACATCACTCACAGAAATGTGATTGCAGTATGAGGCTTTTTGTCTGGTGACCATTTGCAGGAAGAGTTAATTGGGCTGAGGTTGGATGAGTGATCCCCTTTAAACTGGCTTAGAAATTGTGGCAGTCAGTACTCCTCCATCTGTAAAGGTACACCCAGTAAACTTGAGAACAGCAAGTGAAATGAATCAGAGTTCTAGTTTGGAATGGTTTTGTCTGGAGTAGTTAATTTTCTCCCCTAGTATAGCGATGAGTTTTGGATTTCTGACTGAAACAGGCAGAGTGTGCAGTGTCACTCTGTTTGTGAGCTGGGTAAGCTAGGATACTTCTCATCACTCAGGTTAGGTGGTTAAGTGTTCCACAGCTATGAGTGTCAGCCAGTGGAGGGTACAAAATCCAGCTGTGTCAGCAGGCACCAAAAAGAGGGACCAGGCAACTACAGCAAAGTCACAGGAGTGACAGGTTGCAAAACACCAAGAACATGAAATCCCATGTCCATGTGTCCAGCTTTTGGGTGCAGAATGCCTTACTTTGTTGTTGTGCTGTACAGAAAACTGTGTCAGAGCCCTGTTGGAATGACAGAGGTGCTTTCCTTGGCTGCAGGGGCCGTCTACATTTGCACAGAGGATGTGTTCCCAAGCAAACGTCTGCAGCAACTCATAGATCAGCAGCACAAGCTGCGTGCAGATGTCCCAGCTGAGATCATCCAGAAGATCAGATTTGGAGACAGGATTTTTGTTGAGCACGCAGCAGACCTGGTAAGTAGGAGCACAAACTAAGAATGCCTAATGATTACACTCCCATCCAGTAACCACAGGGGGTTTTTGATATAGGAGATCTTTCAACAGTGAGCTAAGATCTGTAGTGAATAAATACTTCTGTAATGAATAAATGCTTCTTAATCTGCACTTTGCTGCTAAAGAATTATTAGAGTTTTATTATGAAATCTATTGAAAGATAAATATTAATTTTCTTTTTTAGAATGAATCATGTAGTAGATTTTGTAAGTCATTATGTTTATTAAAATGGAGGAGACTTAGAATCACAGAACCATCAAGGTTGGAGGAGACCTCTAAGATCACCAAGTCCAAACAGGTAACTGCTGGAACCCCTAAACCCTGAACC